CTGAATTTAATGACATGCAATTAACTGGAATAGAATAACTTAAAGTTAAGTGTCAAGGAAAGGCCAGTTGAGTGGGCTTTGAGGACTTTGTCATTCTCCAGCCTCAGGAAGGGGCCTTCCAGAGTATAATGTGAAATGTGTAAGACACACACACACACACACACACACACACACACACACACCATATAGGTTAATCTCTCTACTTTGGAGATAAAAGTCCAGTTTTTTGGTAATTTCCACTCTAAGGCCTGGTAGAAATGTCATGCATACACTTCAAATGATTACAAATCCTTGGTGGAGTTTGAAACGCATTGTGCATCGACCTTTCTCTTTCTCTGTGTTTATTGACTAATTTACTTTTTAAAAAAAATTTATTAATTATTTTTATGTGTATGTGTATGTGTGTATTGCCACACAAGACAGAAGAGGCTGTCAGATCCCCTGGAACTGGACAGTTGTTAACTGCCATGTGGGTGCTGGGACTTGAACCCTGGTCTTCTGCAAGAACAGTCAGTGTTCTTAATCACTGAGCCATCTCTCCAGCCCCTGACTAATTCACTTCTGCAAATGCTGTATGGGATCTCAAGCTTCTGACCATTATTTTTCTCCCTAAAATCCTTTGTTCTATTCAGTCTGAAGGTATAAGTCAGACACATTCCCTCCATCGAGTCCTCTATGACCTGATGCCACATCACAAAATGACCCTGCTTCCATGCCCCTTCCCTTGATCATATAAATCAAGTTCATCCAAGTCAAGTGGAGATTTCTGATCACAATGAATAGACATGGCATTTGTTGAGCTATTTTAAAATTACCTTCTGATTTGTTTCTCTGCCCATCTAGACACTAATAAATCTATGGGATTGTGGGCCTATACTTTTCCTACCACCGAAACCTTCCTTGGTACCTACCACAGAAGTGTGTAGAAAATGGATGTTTAAATATTTGGCTGAGTTTATGAATAAATGTTCTGGGAAGCGCCAGACATGATTCTAGGTACTGAACAGTTTAGTGTTTAGAAATACAGTCCTTGCAATTTGTGATCTACTTGGTGGAGAACACGACCACTAAAAATTATTTTGTTATGCATAACACAAGAAGAAATGAAGAGGTCACAAATTCTAAGGAGATGGCTGGAATGTTATAGAACGTTTGAGACCCTGTGGTCATCCAAGAGCTAAATTGTATTTATTGCCTTCTTGACTTCAATTCTGAAATTCATTAAAACTGGGTGAATCTTTTACATGTGGAATGCAGTTAGCATGTAGAAACTGTTGCTAAAGAAAATCTAAAGTTCTTGTATCACCCGGATCCCATTTTTCCATACAGCACACCTGATACCTACACACAAGTATTTAATGAAGTTTGCAGCCTTTTTCTCAGAATTCTCTTTCCCTACTTGTTCCCAAGATTCCACCTTTTCACATAAGCTAAACTTTCAATGGCCCAACTCATTATCTATTTCTGTCTCCCAACTCTTGGAGCCTGACTCCAAGTCTCCCTCTCAAGACAGCCTTCCCTCTCCTAATCCTATACCTAAATCTGAAGTGCTCTTCACAGCCCACTCTGTGGCAAAGTTCTCCAAAGAGACAATATTTGACAGCAGGAATCTACCTCTCCTTGGAACTCTTGCTATGTTCTGCCCTGTACTATATATTTGCTTTGAAATGTGTGTCTTGCTTCCTTAAACGAATGATTCTAAATCTCTAGAAAGAATTCCTTTGTTTCCATATGCCTCCACATTCTCAATCTTATATCAATAGTTTTGTTTTGTTTCCCTGTTCTATAATTCTAGGATCCACAAAAAAATAATCTTTCACACTCTATCCCACATGCACTCAAAGAAGCATAATGCTGTATAGGGCAGTGACTAGAATTGAGACTCTGCTGCTGTTGCGCACCCCACTGCTCACATCAGGTTCAGAATCCCAGCTCTCCCCCTTTATAGATTATTAGCTCCCGGGAAGATCAGTTTAATCCCTTGGTCTCTTGATTAACATATACCTAAAGTGGGTTGATATTTGCCTCACAGAGCTGTTGTGAGGTTTCATGAGTCAAAACAATGTAAAGTGCTTACCACAGTACCTGGTACCCCATAAGCACTGCTAAAAGATTAAAGTAATAACTGTCCTGTTTTGGGGCTTGCTACAGTTGATAACACTAACTAAAAATTCTGCAACATCAGTGAAGGAAGGAAAGTAAGAGGGACCCCTTCACTCCCCCTTGCATTGAAGCTACTTGTTGACTCAAAATGTAAGTCCCAAGAATCAAGCGGCCCAGGCCTGTTCGATTGCTGACACTGATACGGCAGCCTCAACAAGATCAGGAGCAGGAAGCTCACAGCACCTGAAGGTTCTTCTAAAGAGTTCTCACTGTCTTCAGAGAGCCTATTCAGTCATTTATTTCAAGAGGAATTCCAGGAACACAGTAGCCCAGCTTCACCCAGCAACTGCGTTGACATCACTACGACTCACTGCACAGCTCCTAAGGCAACAGGGGCTTGTTGCATTTTCTCTTTATTCTGCACCAAACTTCAGCACTCTGAGTGGTACCCATGGTGGGTCTCAAGACCTCAGAGTCCAAACCTCTGTCACTACGAGGGCCCTAAAGCATTTTAATCGGGCTAAGACAGCAATAGTCTGACAATACAAATTTGAGGTTGAGGGACAGAAAGAACCTTGTTCCTTACAATTTCTGACTGGAATCATCACAACTGTAGGCACCTCTGTGCTATCCCATACTGACGGTCCAGTCTGATTTGGGCATGCCTAAGTGCTGCCCAGCATTTCCTTTACTCTTCTGTAGCTGACAAAGATGAAGAGGCACTGATACCGGAACCCAACGCTTGGGATCTTAATTCACACTTAAAGGAACTTCATTTGGGTCATGACTCTGCAATGCCTCATACAATTAACCCAACATCCCCTTTCATCCATCAAATAGACAATTACATGATACAGAATACTTTGAACATTGGCAACAAATAGCCCCTGGAGGAGGAGGAAGGGGAGCAACCAGGTCACTCCAGATGGGAGTAAGGAGCTGTGTTTGAGAGCACAGGCACATTTTCTCATCCTTTTGGGAGGCTGCTCTCAAAGGATTTCTTTGCATGGTGAAGTCCCCAGAAGAGTGGAAGCATGGTACACCTGAATATGGGTCATCCTTCCCCCGGGTTTGTACTGTGCTGGCCTATGAGGAGTTATACTTTAACACTATGCTCACCTGTCTAATATCCTTGATGCAAGATCTGGGGGACAGATGACCAGAAAGACAATAATCAATGAAATCCACATGACTTCTTTTGAAAAGAAAAGTGCATTTAAGAAAGTAACATCTAAACCTTTTGTTCGGTTAATCTGAGTCTCACTAATAAAGGAAAAGAGAAAGATGAGGGAAAGTACAAAGGACTGAATTTTTTCAATGTGTATGAAGGGGCCTGTGTTTGGACTTGGGACTTATTTTACGCATGCATATATTTGCAATTCTCTTGGGGAATTTGAAGGAAGAGCATTGAGCTATCTGTTGACAACTCACTATTTCGCTAAACACAGAAAGAAATGTGCCTCTCTGTCTCTCTTGGGGTTGTTCTAGCTCCCTGTCAGCCTGCTCCACATAGGCATAAAATTTCATTGAAGGGCTGCTGATACAAATTTCTCTATGAAATCTTCACTCATCAAGAGCCTTACACTTCTCATTGCAATCTGGTGGGGGACAGTCTCACATAGCTGCCACGCATTGTGGCCCCTTATGTTCATTTCCCCTTGAACGTGGAAAGCATAAGTTGTATCATACATGCATGAGTCTGGGCAGGTAAATGAGCCTCAACATACCTCAGTTTTCACTGCCTAGCCAACACAGAGAAAAGAATCTATTGTGTAGAACTGCAAGAATTTATGTCTAACATCTAGAAAAATAAATATTAGCTATGGTGGGTTACTGAAAATTTTTTTATTCTCAAAGGTTCCTAGGACAAAACATTTATTTAATTTTATCTTAATATTGTTTTTATTTTTATTTTCTGTGTATGAGTGTATTACCTGCATGTATGTAAGCATACCCATGTCTTACAATGCCCGAAGAGGCCAGAAGAGGGCACTGAATCCCCTGGGACTGGACTTGAGGATGGTTGTTAGCTGCCATGTGAGTGCTAGGAACCAAACCCCAGTCCTCTGTAAGAGCAGCCAATGCTCTTAACCACTGAGCCATTTCTCCAGCCCCCCAAAACGAACAGTCTATAATGAAATAATAAGTGACACTGTAAAATAGTTTTCCAACCCATCCAATATCACCTGTCTTTTTCCCTCAGAAGAAGCTCCATAACTGAATCAAGGATTTAAAGAACTGCACTATACAGGAACAGGT